CCGCCTACGGGTCGGTCTGACTGGTAGGCGCGCCTACCACCTACGGTAGGCGTATGCGGTAGGCGCCAAAACAACCCTGGGATAAGTTGAATATAACGCCCGGGCGTTATTTTCAGGTGAGGACGGTAGCACAAATTGAACCAAAGTTTTCCCTTTTTTCTCTCTCCATGAAATCTTCCTCCCCCTTACTACTCTTATAAACAATTAAACACAACAGCAAATGAATGAATAAACAGGAATCATGTCCAAGTAACCCCCCTTATTGCCAGCATTCAAAGAGCCCTCCTTTCAGCCATAACCTCACTTCTCTCTCCTTGGTTGCAAGTTGCAACTAGCACTATGGCGGAACATCCATGCTCATCACGGATTTCCAAGGACAATGCAATCTCGCCTACGCCTCTCCCATCTCATACCCATGCTCCTGGTTGAAGTCCAATACCAACTAGAACCCACACAGGGGCCCTCTAGATGCAGCGCAGACCAATGAAGTGAAGATTAAGGTCCACCGTAGCCATAGGTGAGTCTCTCATGTCGGTTCCTCTCTCACTCCCCCTTTCTGATCCTCTGCACCCTTCTCTCACCTCTCTCCGTAGCCTGGCATTGGGCACTTCACCCTCTAGCTCCTACTCCTCCATAACCAGGGAGATCTTTTTCTCCACCCTCCAGCTGCAGTGCTCCGCAGGAGCTCCGCCTAACATCACCCTCTCGGCAGAGCATCAGCATGACTGCTGGGTAAGATCCTGCTTCACTCATTGTACCCGAATGATGTACTCTCGCAACTCACCCTCACAGCTTCACTTAGGCTGCAGTACCGCTGCCTACTGCTGTCTCTCCGGGGTACTAGACCCAGCAGAAGTTCCTGCCTTTCGGCGGGAACCTCATTGCAGCCTGTAAGTCTACCACAGGGCCTTAATCTGACCTATCTGATATCTAGGTTGGGGCCCTGACTACTAATGACCTTTCGGAGAGCTAACGGATCCCTCTAGGCCTACTGAACTATTGCTGGGCCTAACTGAGTTGCTGGAAAACCCCTGTCAGGTACTACCCGAACTCTACTTGTGTCCCTGTGTTATGTGTTCGATTGATTCACAACTCAAACCCGCATTCAAATGTTCCCATATACATCTGCAATGACAGGCAGACTGGAGAGAGCAGATTCACACCATAGCCATGGAGAGATATTGCACAGCAGAAGCCAAAGCCAGATATAAAAATTGAGAGAAAAATGTTTCAATCAATTATTTATTACACCCCTTGCTCTCCTCTGTCAACCGAACAACTCCAAGAATCTCAACCACGAAATCTGTTCCACCTCCAATTAACCGCCGACAATACACTTCAACGAAGCTTCACTGAATTTCCTCTTCTCCCTACGACCCCCAGCCTCCAATGATAGCCCACTGTTGAAAACAGCATCACATCATGCCCCGAGCCTGTGATCACAGGTGCTGATCTGGCATGAGCCAGATATCAAGTGGCTGCGCCGCAAACAACCGTGAAGAAGAAGGTGAACCTCGATGAAGAAGATGATGGCTGCCCTGGTATGGCAGCAACCAGCAACAAGCCGCTTGATGAACAGCAGCGTCCTTCAACCCCACAAACAGCAGCGTGATGGCAGTGGCATCAGCACCTTGAAGACCTCGTACAGGTGTTGCCTCCTCGAGCAGCAGGGCGCCCCAGCTGTGGCTGCCCAAGTTCCCCTTCGAAGAGGAAGAAGACTGAGCGCTGGAAATAGTGCCGCTCACGTACTCCCGTCGCCACTTCCAAAAAAATGAGGAAAGAACCGCAAACTTGTCGGCCTCTCCCTACTTCTACCCGACTTCCCTAGACTTACAACACATCAGTCACCTACGAACCTATCTGACCGTCGAAACAGCAAACATCTATGGCCAACAGTCAAGACCTGCCTACATGCATCTGGATGGAAATCTAGACTACGTGGACTCAAGAACCTAACACAGAAACGAGGAACCTACGGGCCTACCAGTTTCCAGAAGAGCAGAAAAGGACAAAACAGCAAGACCTGAACGGTCTAAGACTGCCAAATAGAGACTACCAGCGACAAGTTCACGGATCAAGCCCAGCAGGAATCATAGCTAGTAATCAACACATACAAACTGTAGGTCACTGGATCAAGTCCCGAAGGGCTCAGAATAGGCAAACAGCAGACAAACCTAGTGTACAGCCCGCGTGAGCAACTGCAATTCATTGCACCTGTCTACCCTAGCCTTTCTAGAAGTCCATCCAGTCCCCAATTTCAGTCTTGTCCCTGCGGTTTCCTTTTTCTAATATGCCCCTCCCGGAACACTGAAAACAGAGGGCAAGCACACAATACTCCGAATAGCAATCATCACACGGGAACATCAACCTCACACAGAACGCTGAAATCTCAGCAAATCAGACCAGCAAGCGCACAGAAAAGTTGAGAAAACAGCAAAAATCTCCGACTGATTCTGTGCAGGTCATTGCGTTTAGGAAGATCTAAAAGATTTTTATGTGGAGAGAGAGAGAGAGAGAGAGAGAGAGAGAGAGAGAGAGAGAGAGAGAGAGAGAGAGAGAGAGAGAGAGAGAGAGATTCATCACCCATCATATATTGTTTGCGGATGAAGCTGCAGCAGGGGATCATCTAGTCAATTCATAGAATGAAATTGGTGACGGCTAGGGCTTCTTCCAGGATTGAAGTGTGCACCCGTTTCCAGCTATGCATCCATTTGAGCATAAAAGCCAGTAGTGTGGCTGCTGAAGTTGGATGAGATCCTCCGGTGCCTATAATGATCCTAGGAATCTGATGGGTCTGTTGGGATCTATCCATTGCAGGCGTTCTCGAGTGAATGTCCGCTGGCAGCGGGCTATCTGATAGCCCCCATTCCTTCTGTCCATTGCACTCCTCTTCTTTTTCTTTGTTTGCTTTTGAAACTGCATCTTTATGGCCTAAAGTTGTGCTAACCCAGGCAAGTTGATTTCGTAAGATGCACCAGAGCAGCCTATCCTGTATGACTTTGTCTCAAGACTGAAAAATTTGCAGGGATGCACTATTAAGGGCAAGATTCAATGTCTTGATGGTGTGTGCAGGTGAGCAAGCTGGAGCGGCGCATGAACAGGCTTATCACAGTGATGATACTGTGTGTTCTTGCCTTTTCACTTGCCTGTGCAGTCGAGTACAACTCTTGGATGACGGATAATGATAGGCCGCACATGATAGTCAAAGAAGACTGGCCCTATCTTGGAGCTGGGCACCTTGCCTCATCAGTCCAATTTATCAGGTCAGTGGCTATCAATGCTTGGATTGCAAGAAAAAATAGGTGGGATTTTGCTGTGTCTGGCGGATGACACAGGTGGACATGTGGGATCGTGTTTTCAGTGTGTTTTGTAAGTGAGTGACTGTGCTTTCTCGCAATGCAACAAAGTGCATGCAAGTTTTCCTGCCAAAGAGGAACACAAAGCATGTATCTCCGGAGACGAGAGCCGAGCGATAAACGGGCAGCAAACAAGGTGCCAAAGAGGAACAGAAAGCATGTATCTCTGGAGACGAGAGACGAGTGATAAACGGGCAGCAAACAGGGTGGAGCCGGAACTTTTGGTGCAAAAGTTTTTGACGCATTCAGATGCGTTTGGAAGTTTCTGGTGCCGTCGGAGTTGTTGGAGCAGCTCATCTGGGGGAGTGGGTGGAAGGGGGAACCAAGCGGTTTCTGGTGTGTGCGAGTCTCCAGTGCAGGTGACATTTTTTTCTGGTGCGCCGCTTTTGAATACAAGGGCTGTGACATTGATAATTATCGCCTTTCCAGAGGAGCAACCGGTCAACGTAAACCACATGGCGATGTACTCTGCAGTGCCAAATGCATGCAATTGTTTTGCGCTCCTCTAAACCTGTGGTTTGTGGCTCTCCACACCAGTTCCGACCCCTTGGGTTACATAGAATCTGCTACAAAATTTCAGAATACTTTTGGACTGTAACCTCACTTTGCAATACAAAATTTGTTTTGCCCTCTACTTGTTCACATATAAGCATCTTTTTTTCAAGTTTTTTTCGTTCCCGCAACTCAAAAGGTGCATTTTCATTGTCTCTCGCAAAATTTGTTGTCCTATTCTCCCTGAAAGAAAAGGTACATCATTTTCTTCGTTGGGCAGACTGCAATGCTTAACAGAGGCAAAGCTTAGTCCTTTTTTAGGGGGGCTGAGTCCCCCATAGAGTAGTAGGTTCGGCGACCTGTTGGTCCAGGTGGCTGACTTGAGTGACTTGACTTGTTTTTTTGAAGAGCAAGGCAGCTAGTCGAGGCTCCTAAACCCCCAACGAGGCGATATCCAGCCTTCCAGCCAGAATAGGAAGAAGTTCATCGAGAAAGGGCAATGCATTTTTAAATGAGTAGTGAGTGAGAAAGGCAACTGGACTTCTGCTCCCCATAATGAAAAGAAGCCGTAGCCCCCAACTTCCCCGAAGGCTCCTTTTCTTGTGTGTGTGTGTGCTGTCTCTTATACACATCTAGATGTGTATAAGAGACAGCCCTTAAGGGGCTCAGAAGGCCACTCACGCGATAAACAATCTGTGTTCCGAAAGGTATCGGACTGTACGCGAGGTCACAAATGTCGTAGAACGTTNTTGTGTGTGTGTGTGTGTGTGTGTGTGTGTGTGTGTGTGTGTGTGTGTGTGTGTGTGTGTGTGCGTGGGGGGGGTTGGGGGGGGGGTTGGGGGCGGAGAGACGGAAAGTGGTATAACTGTTCAGATGATATCTTCAATCTTCACAGAAGTAGTAATGTACCATTTATAGGATAACTGGTCTGGACACAAACAACTAATTCGTCCTATTTTGTGGGCTTTGTTTCTGGCTGGATGATTCAATTGTTGACACTTGTTGCAACTACCACTACTCCCTCTGCTGCCTCATAAGATGCTTCTGATTCTGCTTTTACTACTATTACCGCCACTAAAACCACTGCCACGGCTGCTATGACGTCTGATGCTGCTGCTGCTGCTGTCTCTCCGACCACGGCATATTGTCCTGATGCTACTGCTGCTGCTATTGCTGCTTCTATTCTTGCTTTTCAAACTACTGCTATTGTGGTGCTGCAGGTTCCTGTTTTTTTGGTATGCAAAATTTGTGCCTTCGTGACCTTGTTTTTTAATCAGGTTTATTATCCTGTTTAGTTCCATGGTACCGGCATCCTTATATGTGATGCTTGACCTAGCAAAGGTCTTTCAGTCGTTACTAATCGAGTGGGACATTCAAATGTACCATCAAGGCTCGAACACTTGCGCCAAGACCAATACGTTTGATCTCAATGAGGAGCTAGGACAGGTATGGTGGGTAATAATACTTCATTAATCAAACTCGAAATTTTCAAAAAGGCCTATGTCATTCATCGAAGCATGGGATTGTGCAGCCTTTTTTATATCCTCCTCTTCTTCATCGTGTTCCTTATCATCCTGCTGGCGCTGCCGATGATGCAGCGTTGACACTTTTGAGTGTTCGGAAGAAAAGGCACGAAAATGGAAAACTGGCTTGGCAATGGGCACCATGATATGATGAACACTGGGCTTCACATCATAGGAGTCTTGTTTCCCCTTCCCTTTTTGAAAATTTGAACCAGGCAGGCTGCCCAGGTCACCTTGTTTCCCGGGCGGCCTGGCCGTGCAAGGACCGTAGAAGGTCCCAGCAAAAAAACAGAAAATTCCAAAAGATCCAAAAAATCTGAAAAACAAATATGTCATGCAGAAAAATAAACTGAAAAACTTTTGCCTCAGGGGCTGGACCCACTAGCGAAGTATTCTACGATGTGTGACGCAATTTTATGGTTTTTTGGAAAATACAAAGTGATTTTTTATTTGCATGAATGGATCGTTTTGAACGTTTTCTGATTTAAAATGATTTGAAATAGCACATAAAACTATGAAGAACAGCTGTGCGCACAAATTCATGGGTTGGTACGATCTCCTTCACGTAAGTCTTCATAGTGATGTGCCGTGGCAATAAGATGTGTGCACGAACACAGCCACGAGGATGAACAAGTAATGGGTATGGGGATACATTCATCACCATGTATGTCATGATGCCTCTAACAGGCCATCCGACAGATGCGGAAGCGTTCCTGTCAGATCCACCACGATATCTGAATTTCACATCTCAAGTTCGATTTCTCAGAGCCAAAAAAAAAGAAAACGAAGTCTGGAAATCAACTCCTTTGAGTCCAGAAAATCCAGACTTCCTGCCCACGCAAAGCCACGAGCTATCATGTCCAACTTTGTTGTTGTTGTTGTTGTTTTCGACGCATCTCATTGGACGGGAGGTGGGCATCTTTACAGTCCCCACTCAGAAACTACCAGGCCGTCGAGATCCGATCTATTCGACGGCTGTACTGTGTCATGCGAGGCCACACGTGATCGAAATCCTGAACGAAGTGGTAGAGTACTTCGCTATTGGGTCCAGGCCCCAGGGTCACGTTGAAATTCCTTACCGAATTAAAAAGAAAAGAATATATATATATATGTATAATATATGTATTATATATATACAGTTTGTCACAGCCCCTCGTTTGTTGTCCTCTTCTCCCGCTCTGCCTGTGGTTCACCGGGAAGCTCTGTTTGACGATGTATATATATATATAGATATTGTAGGCAGAGCGGGAGAAGAGGACAACAAACGAGGGGCTGTTATCACTACATATATAACTATCGCTAATTTCCTGCCTGTGACAAGCAGACGATCGGGGCCCTCCGATTTTTTGCTGCACGACGGCCCCGATCGTCTGCTGATCGTTTTTTCTTAGAAGTTGAAGCGTCGCCAGGGCCAGTACCGGTTCCGCATGCCAGTGCCGGCACCACGCTTGGTACCGGGCCCACGCACCGGAGCCGGTACCACCACACAAGGTACTGGGCCCCTGCGCTAGCACCGGTACTGTCAGACGCTGCCGGGCCAGCGCCAAGCGGCCACACGTAACAAACTTTTTCCGATTTCGGGAGGCAGTGCAGGAAAAACCACATGGCCCCACACCACACCTGCCCTCCAATCGACTTTCGACTTTTCATACCCTAGGCTACAGCGCTCGACGCCGACTGACTTCTATGCTGCTATGGTCGACTACCACTTCGCTCTACGTTGGACACACCCGCACGCTCACACGCACACCAACACACCAACACACCAACACACCAACACACGCGCCTCACGCACGCACACACACACGCGCATGCACTCACGCACGCACACACACATGCATGGACGCACACATGCACGCACGCACGCATGCACACACACACACACACACACACACACACACACACACACACACACATACACACACACACACACACGAACGTGGTGAGTCCTTGGCCATCAGTACAGTTCGTCTTGGCGGACTGTCGGGGTTCAACCTCCTGATGAGTCGGTGGAAGTCCGACGAAACAGTCTGGCTGCGTCATTTTGTAAGTTCTGTATAGCGAACATAACAACAGACACACATACTCAGACTCACCCACACAGAACACACACACGCACACACACACACACACACACACACACACACAACCACACCTTGATGACTGACGGTGAGTTTGTTATTCGTGTCTGTTGCTTTCATTTTCTGTGGTCTTGGAACTATGAGAGAGAGAGAGTGCGTATGTGTCCGCGTGTGTGTGTGTGTGTGTGTGTGTGTGTGTGTGTGTGTGTGTGTGTGTGTGTGTGAGAGAGAGAGAGAGAGAGAGAGAGAGAGAGAGAGAGA